GATATGTTATGCTGTATCTTATCTTTCATGGGTGTTGCCAGTGAGACACCTTATCCGATGTCCATCAGATCCCAGTTTCTGTGCGAACTTTAGCCTGGGTGAAATGCCTTTTGTTGAGGTGATGTTGCCAATGACGTTTGTATGCTGTTTCCACCAAAGCAACACATCATCAGTTGTGCACCCCAGCCTCATTGGGTGTTTCGGCCCTTTATCACAAGACGCCCTCAGCCGAGGCAGGCCCACCACAGGCTGATCAGACCCGGGTGTGTGTCACTCTGTTACATGCTCATTTGGCAGCCCACTCTGTGTCCATCCGCTTCGGCCACAGCCCGTGGCTGCTTCTTTCGGATGGAACGTTACCTAAAAATGAAAATGTTGTTCCAGATCTGACTAACATTAGATGATTTAGTCATTAAGTGGAGAAGCGGATTAGTCTGATTCATGAATGAAACATTCAGAGCATCTGTGTGAGCTGTATTGCTCAGTACAGTTTTGGAGTATCTGCCGATACTGATGTCAAATCTGCTTTTTTTCTTGATCGGTTTAGAAAATCTACACCTTATTACCTTGCTAACTACGCACTGCTTCTTTATAAATAAAGGAAAACATGACTAGGCAACACTTTACAATAAGGTCCATTAGTTAACATTAGTCTTTAGTTAACACGAACTAAGAAAGAACAATACTTCTACAGCATTTATTAATCATAGGTCATGTTAATGTTGACATTTACTATGTATTATTAAATCAAACGTTGTGCTTGTTAACATTATTTAATGCACTGTGCATTAACATGAACGACTAACATTAACAAAGATTGCTCATTGTTTGTTCATGTTAGTTAATACATTAACTAATGGAACCTTACTGTAAAGTGTTACCCATGACTGTATATTCCTGATCAACACAAATGGCCCATGTCGAGCCGTTCTCTCATGAACTATCATAAATACTCCAAGGAGAGCTACAGAGTCAATTTTCAGTGAATAATGACCTACATTTCAGCGTCATAATCGGCACAATCATATGGCTTCAGAACTTTTTGCGATACGTTTATGGTGCTTGTGTGCTTTACGAAGCTCGGAAGCCTCAATCTCCGTTCTTTATAATTGCATGAATAGCAAGATCAGTTCCTTAAAAATCTGAAATAAAGTCACACCGGTTTGGAAAGACTGATAATGACAGAATGCTCATTTCTGTGTGAATTAGGGCCTATCCCTTTAAAATTTCAAAGCATTCCCATTATCCTTGTTTACATTCATAGTCTCCTATTGCATTAGTGATTTTTATCGAACGCAGGCTCTTTCTTGTATAGAGTGTAAATAATGTGCTTATCTTTTATTATCTGGCAGTCGCCGGTGACGTACACCGAGCAGATACAGAGAGTCCCAGTGCTGCTGGATTTACCTTATCGTGTCTTATGCCACAGATGGATCAGTGACAGGGTCAACACACACACACGGCCAGCTCGAATATCCTTCGTCTCAGTATCCACGAGCCTTGAGGCCACCCGCAGGCGTCTTTAAATAGATAAACACTTCAAAGTTGTAGCCAAAGCCATAGCGTTAGAGGAAGGTTTGTGTCACTGCACTAATATTAGTCAGCAGATTCAGACATTCCCAGTGCTGGATGTCATGAGCATGGATGGGAGCTCATCCCAAGTGTCTGACAGTATTTTCTAGCTTTTTGAGTGTTTTTCTGTTCGTGTTTGTTTGTTAGAAGTAGGTATGTTCTCAGATGCTTTGGAGGCCGTAGGACGGGTGGAGGGGTTGACGCTGTCCCCTCCCCAGACTCTCCCAGACCCCGATGAAGAGGTGGAACTGGGCTCCGAAACAAAAAGACGAGGCAGATATCGCCATAGCTTACAGATACTCAAGCCCTTTCGGATCACGCACAAGTAAGTTCTCTTGGATACAGTTGTTAGAACCATATACAATTAATATGTGGGTAGCTACCAAATGGATTTAAGAATAAAATTGTTTGTCTGCATGTATAATAATTATAAAAAAAATTTGCAAATGCTGTTTAAAATCAGTCTTGCTGGTGTACAGAACGTCACACCAAGGGATGAATCGACACACCGTTTCCAACAGTTAAAGTCACATATGCACAAATACATAAAGCTTATTTTAATGCTTAAAATGTGGAAGAATCACTTGGCAGGACTTCATAAAATAACACACACACACACACACACACACATATATATATATATATATATATACACACATATGAAGTATATATTGTTATATATTATTTTATGTATTATATAACATTTTTGAAGTTCATGACCAGTCATTCCTGATTAGCTTATGTCAATATAAACAGTATTTTTGTCTGAACTGTTTATTTTCATAGATTTTTGTATTTCTAGATTAGATACATTTATTTTGTAGTTCATAATGACAGTCATGCCACAGAACAATTTTCACATTCGACAATATTTGAATAGATATCTGTGAAAAATCTGTGTTCTTTGCTGTCCAGCCAAATTATCTGAAAGGAAACAGATAATAATAATAATCTTTGAGGACAATAAAATTGCTTGTCATGTCAACCTCCTTTGAATGTTTCTAACCTACATTTCACGAACTACAACAGGAGAAAATAAGTAATTAAAATAAAGAAAATAAAGAAATTTTTAGGTTACTACTTTGGATATTTCTTTAATAACTGCCATAAATTGTGAAGTGGTTATCAGGAGATTATCAGGAGACACATTTACTTCCATATAATAATTAATCTACAGTGAATCATCAATGAACTGACTTAAGCTGGAAAAAATGATTCTTTGTTATTGTCTTCTTGCATCATGCACAAACTATTTTCCTGTTTGACAGTGTAAAGCTGCTTTGACATAACCAGTGTTGTATAAAGTGCTGTACAAATAAAGGTGACTTGACCTGACTGAACCTAAAATACTGTTGCTAAAATAAATTTATAGTGCATTTTCAACCTTTTCTGCAAAGTTCAATGTGGAAAAATGTAACTTATATTACATCTCTACGCTCCGCCACTTTTCAGCGCTGCACTCGTTGTCTTCTGTCTTCCGTTTGTATATCCACAGCATGAAATTAAGATCGTGCAAATTTATGAATGAACCACTCGTTTTAAAATCTTCCAGATCTATTGACATTTGTTATGACATCCGCGTCGAACATTACAATGCTCATGATAACTTTCGTTAAAACTAGCGATGCTACAGAGTTCAAAGACAAAATTATAAAGATGGCAGCGTGCTTGTTTCTCTGGCACATACTGTAAGGTCTATAAACACTACTTAAATATGCATTATACAGAGGCAAGCATTAAAATAAAAAATCGCAGCCTTTGCCAATCAATAATCGCATCAGGCCAAATCGTGATTTCGGTTTGATTTTGATTAATCGTTCAGCTCTACCCTGGAGCCAAGCACAAGTTAGGCATCTCTCATATGTGCCAATGCTGAACCGTGAACAAACTGAACTATTAGAAAACACCTCCTGTGCCAAGGTCTCACACAGTTGACGTCTAGATAACAAGAGGTTGGTGTGGGAATCCCTCGAGTCACGGTGGGGAATGAATGATAGATGCTTGCCTCCCACGCTCACACAGCCCAGAGAGTTATGGCAGGGGGGGGTTATTCATAGCAAGGATTAGACATCAGAGAGAGTCAGTCTGCACCTTTCCTGCAGGACGGTTATGTCATTAACACGTCAGATCACAGCCCGTGTCCCTTTTGACTAAGCCGGCTCATTGATAGGGCTCAAAGTGTTTCTCGGGAACACGGGAACATGGAAAAACACCTATAATCTGTAACTGCCCTTTCTAATCACAGATCAGAGATTTGCCCATATTCGGTGAATGAATTGGATCAGACTTTGACTGTGCTTTCTTTTCTTGCAATCAATGATCGTGTGTTAAATATAGGCCCCTGTATTTGCCTGACAGCTATGCCTCAGCGGCTCTGTAAGAAGCAGTGTCCGTTTTCAGTGTTTGACCTCAGGGTCTGTGGCTCCCATTACTGGATTTGTGTCAGAGATATAGCTGGGATGCGTTTAAGGCATGTGTACTTGTGTGTGTGAGGGGCGGATATTTTATGGGGTCTGGAACACTTACGTAAAGTGTTTTCTTCAAAACACAAGGCTGTTGAAATTTTAAAAAATAATAATAAAATACAGTTCACCAAAGTGTTGTACCCTTGTGAGAGATAAAAGCTGAGTGGATTATTTTATTTCTTTATTATTGTAGGTCTTTGGCATGGGAACTGAAAGCTCAAAGCCTTGGTCCTTCAGATTGATTGTTCATTCTGAGTGTGAATTTCAGTGTTTTCAATGAGGCTTTCCTTGAATGCTTCAAGTTTTTGCATTACAATATTTATGAGAAATTGAACAACATTTATGATTTATAATAAACGTGTCAATGTTTTGGCTTCTAAATGTGTGCCCAAAACAAGTTTTACTACCCGAAGACCTGAAATATATGATGTGCCCTTGAGTTTAAAATACAGAAGTTTAACAGTTAAATGCCTCACATTTTTAATTTAGACGTGAGGTCAAGGATTATATCCAGTCAACTTGCAAAAAAGCAGGACCCAACCAGGAGCAGAGGGATCTTATATCATTCTGAAGGGGTTTATGCATGACATGCATTATGATTTGTGGTCATTTTATTATGTGAGAAGAAAGAAACTGGAGTGATGCAAGAATTGTAAAACTAACACAGCTATGTAGGAAATTATACAGTTCAGCATCATTACCCAAAAACACCAATCAGAATCAAGCATGGCAAAGAGCTGTCTAATAAAGTGACAAAAGCATTTGTTATATTGTACATTTAATTTAGGTTTGGTCTAACAATTTAGCCAGTATTAATTTGATTTCTTAAAGTTGCAATGAATTGGAAGTAGGAACCGATCTTTTTATCCATAATGTGATGTACATTTGCTTGTAACACATTAAAAGAGAAAAAAATATGGTGGAGACTGGGTTCTATGCATCAGTTGTTGATTGGATTTTGAGATGTGGGTGTTTCACTCAAAAGTGGAGGCAGATGAAGGTGAGCTTGCAGGAGCAGCTTTAAATGCATTAAATGACTGGAGAAATCCTGCAAACAACACAGATCCAGTTATGACATTCTGATTCATCATTACAGAGTCAGAAAAGAAATGTAAAAATGAAACATCTGATTTTCACGATAAGATCTATAATGTGCATTTAGAAAATCAAAAGGGTGAGTTTTCATTCATGCTGACTTTAATTTTGACTTTAAACAGGAATAAAATAAAAGTCTTAAATCACTTGAATACAGCCATTGAAACTCAAGTTGAAGGAATAGTCCATCCAAAAATGAAAAGTTTGTCATCATTTACTTTGTTACAAACCTGTATGAGTGTGTTTGTTCTGTTGTTCACCAAAGATGATATTTTGAAGATTGTTGGTAACAGCTGCTGGTAGCCATTGACTTCCATAGTATTTTATTTCTTCCATAATATGGAAGTCACTGGGTACCAGCAACTGTTTGGTTACCAACATTCTTCAAAATATCTTCTTCTGCGTTCAGCAGCTAAAAAAAGAAATTTTAATGAAAATTCTGTCATTCATTTTGTCATTAATTACTCACCCTCATGTCGTTCCAAGCCCGTAAGACCACACGTTAAGATATTTTTGATGAAATCCGAGACAGCAACGCAACTGAAATGTTTAAGGCCCAGAAACGCATGTGTCGTGGTACTGTCGTGAATGGGGGCGGACAGTGACAGGGAAGACAAGAACTGTTGAATTAAGCTGTTATTGTTGTTTCCTTTGCACACAAAAAGTATCCTCGTAGCTTCATAACATTACGCTTGAACCACTGGACTATTGTAACGATGTCCTAACTACATTTCTGGGCCTTGAATGTAGTAGTTCCCTTGCTGTCTATGCAGGGTCAGAAAGCTCTCGGATCTCATCAAAAATATCTTAACTTGTGTTCTGAAGATGAACGAAGCTCTTATGGGTTTGGAACGACATGAGGGAGAGTAATTAATAACTGAATTTTCATTTTTGGGTGAACTAACCCTTTAATAAAAGGTTTCCCGGTTTTTCATGTTACAACACTTGCCGATGTCCTGTTGTTTAAACACACTGTCTTTGGCGATGCATCATTCAGACTGGAGTGGCTGTGGCACGAGGAGCTCAAGCGGCGGGGGAAGGACGCAGCGTCTCTGTCCCGGGTGTTCTGGAGGTTCTGTCAGACCCGTATGCTGGTGGCCATCTTCTCCCTGCTCATCACCATGGTGGCTGGATTTGTTGGACCTGTGAGTTGTCCTCGTTTTCTTTCTGACAACTGTTGGCTTGCATGCTGACCTTTGACCTGCTTCCCCTATCCAGACCAAAGGAGAATGTTCAAGAATCGTGACAGCTTTTTTTTTTTCTCATACCATATTTCATTATGATCACAGACTTACAAGAACCAAGAGGACTAAAAAGCATTATTTAAGTATCATAAAAATATCCATAATGATGTGTGCATTATATTTACTAATCTTCTGATGCAATCGCTTGTTGGAGCTTGACAGCCAGCGATCATTTTGAATCACTGTTGAATGAAAAACAGTGTATGTGAAGATTCTTTTAGAGAGTGTGTGTGTGTGTGTGTGTGTGTGTGTGAGAGAGAGTGAGTGTGTGTGTGCGTGTGCGTGTGCGTGTGCGTGTGCGAGTGCGAGTGTGTGTGTGTGTGTGAGAGAGAGTGAGTGTGTGTGTGTGTGTGTGTGCGTGTGTGAGTGTGAGTGTGTGTACCATGGAAGAAATCAAGTTGTACATGTTTGAGCTGAAATTTGGGTGCAAGATAATGAATGTAGGGCAGCAGCGGACGAGCGTCCATGAAAACTTTGCTGCTTCACACAGAAAACAGACCTGCACACATTTATGAACAGTTTTATATTCAAGGGATCAATAGAGGGGTTATATTTGCAGACTCAAAATGAAATCCGTAATATAAACCAGAGATTGTTCATACCTTCTCGTACTTCAAACTAGTATTAATCCACAGGATCGTGGCATGTGTCTGGATTTTCCATGGTCCAGGAGGCATGTTATTCATATTATTCACGTTATTGCCTGGTGCTTTATTTCTGTTGCCAAATGAGCTTAGATCTTTATTGAACAAGAGTGATTTAGTTTGGATTAAAAACATTCTTAAAAAAAAAAAACATAAATTTTTGATCTTATTAGTTTCACTATGAGGGGATTTATTTTGGTGTAGCTGGGAGTTTCTTACTGAAACGCTGTTGGGAACGCAGCTGTTAATTTTATTTCCCCACACAAGGCCGCACATGCCCCTGACAGCGCTCGCTTAATAGCATTATCAGGGATTACATGTTACAAAATAGCACACTTGTTTCCCTGCGTTGATTTGCTTAGTGTTGCATGGGTCAGCCATTGTCTCAGCAGCTCGTATATTTATTTGCAGTACATTTTAGTGCTCTTTTCTTGTCAGAAATTAAATATTTCCTCACTACTCCTGCTCTTGGCTTCAAGTAAATACAAGTATTATTCTTGGCTTACACTACTATTTAAAAGTTTGGGGTCCGTAAGATTTTTTAAACGTTTTTGTAAGTCCCTGATGTTCACCAAGGCTGCTTTATTTGATCAAAAATAGGGTAAAAAAACAGTAAAGTTGTGAAATATTATAACTATTTAAACTACTAACTGTTTTATTATTTGACTGTGTTTTAAAATGTATTTTATGTGTGTGTGTGATGGCAAAGCTTGAGTGCTCAGGAAACATTTCTTATTATTATCAATGTGGAAACCATGATATATTTTGTTTTTCAATATTCCCTGATGAGTAAAGAGTTCGAAAGAACAGCATTTATTTAAAAAAAATATTTTATAAATGTCTTTTTGCATAACTTTTGATCAGTTTAATGGGTCCTTCCTGAATAAAAGTATTTATTTATTTTTAAAAAAATATGTATTTGGTCAGAGGCTTAAGATCAATTTGAAAAGTGATTGAGGATGACAGGTGCTCAGGAAACATTTCTTATTATTATCAATGTGGAAACCATGATATATTTTGTTTTTCAATATTCCCTGATGAGTAAAGAGTTCGAAAGAACAGCATTTATTTAAAATAAATATTTTATAAATGTCTTTTTGCATAACTTTTGATCAGTTTAATGGGTCCTTCCTGAATAAAAGTATTTATTTATTTTTAAAAAAATATGTATTTGGTCAGAGGCTTAAGATCAATTTGAAAAGTGATTGAGGATGACAAATTAATTTTTCCAGTTTTCTTTTTTTTTATTGATGAATGGAAAGTTCAAAAGAACAGCATTTATTTAAAATATATATTTTTATAAATGTATTTTACCATCATTTAAAAATGTTTTGAATGTGTCTGTACTGAATAAAAATATTTCTTTTTTTTTCATTGAAAAATGTATTTGGTCAGAGGCTTAAGATCAATTTGAAAAGTGATTGAGGACGACAAATTAATTTTTCCAGTTTTTTTTATGAATAGAAAGTTCAAAAGAATAGCATTTCTTTAAAATATATACTTTTTATAAATCTCTTTTATTGTCACTTTTAAACAATTGAATGTGTTTTTACTGAATAAAAGTATTGATATTTTTCAGAAAAAAAAATTTTTTGGTCAGAGGCACAAGATCAATTTGAAAAGTGAATGAGGAAGACAAATTAATTTGTCCAATTCTGTTCATTTTTATTAATTTCTTTATTTTTGAATTAAAATTTTTAGCAATGCGATGCACAGCACAAATGTACTTACCATTGAGCATCCAGGACCAGCTCTCTATTATAATTAGAATGAGAATAGTTTGAGACGGAGTCAAAGAAAAAGACTCAGTGTTTTCCTCTGAGCAGCACTTGATCTCATGACCTCAGAGGATGTTCTGATACCATTAAACCTCAAAGCTCACCTCTGAATCCCTCCTCGTGTAATTTTGATCCTGTTCAAATAAAAACCTCTGCAGAGTCTTTGTACAGCTGTCTCCTCGCTCAGCATCCTGGTTGTGTGCTGTTATTCTCAGGCTCTGCTGATCCGAGCCCTGCTGGAGTACTCTCAGTGTGCAGAGGTGAAGCTGCTGTATGGTCTGGCTCTGGTCGGCGGGATTTTCCTCATGGAGCTGACACGCTCCTGGTCTCTAGCTTTCATGTGGGCTGTCAGCTACCGCACGGCCGCACGCCTCCGGGGAGCCGCGCTCACTTTCGCCTTCCAGAAGATCCTGCGACTACGCAGCACTAAAGACATCAGCACTGGAGAGGTGAACTGTGTGTTAATACTCCCGTAATAAACACTAAACTATTCATTAGGAACAGAACTTGTGTAAACAAGCTTCGCATTTCGATATGGAGAGATTTACTTGAATGTAAAGGGAAAATAACATCTTGAGAGGGTTCATGGGTGAGTTTAAGCCCACTTTTTCATGTGACCTTTTGGCCCTTTAAAATCAATGTGGGCTTGTGTTTGTGAGGTCTGAGTGCCAGCACTGATGCGGGTTAAGCGTGCCATGTTTTAGTTTGGCTGACTCATCCTGTTACTCTTTCAGCTGGTAAACATTTGCTCCAGTGATGGACAGCGTCTGTACGAGGCTGTCTCGGTGGGCTGTCTGCTGGCTGGAGGGCCTCTCGTTGGGATTTTGGGTCTGTCATACACCATCTATTTCTTAGGACCGACTGCACTCGTGGGATCGGCCATTTTTGTCTTCTTCTACCCCACCATGGTAAGATAAGCACATCTAATCCTTTTGTTAATAAGAGGAATATTTACAGCCTCTACAAAGACCAAGTTCACACTGCTGTTTAGTGGCCCAAATATATATATATTTTTTCCTGGCTTGTGACTTGTGCCGTGGTTTTCTCAAAAGACATTGAATCTGACATTTTCACTTTTGATCTGAGACATGTATGTGGCAATAAATGTGATATTATGCAATTGTGCTTTGTAATGTGACTTCAGTTTCAAAAGTAATATCAGAATTCATGTGATTTTTAGGACAATCTAAATCATAAATGCGTAAATTGAATCATTGGCATGAATAATTAACTTATTTATGATTTGCATAGAATATTTAATTGTATGTGTGTGTGTGTGTGTGTGTGTGTATGTGTGTGCATGAGTGTGTGTGTGTGTGTGTGTGTGTGTGTGTGAGCAACCCCTGCTTAAACCAGCCTTAACTTGATTTAAAACCAGTCTGACTAGACTGAGAGACCTGGCTAGACCAGACACCAACTAAGGCTGGTTTAAGAGTGTTTTTTTTCTCTTTTCTTTTTTTCATTTAGGAACAGAAGGTAAAATATGAGTACTTCTGCATAGTTTTAAGACTGGAAATCAAAAGGTCCTTGAAAGTCATGTAATATGATAAAAAAATATGATGTCAGATTCATTTATAGGCCTACTATGAATTATGTTGATGTTATTACAAGGTTTCCGTGGGTCTTAAATTTAGCTGTATCATATTTAAGGCCATATAAAGTCATAAATGGTGGAAGAAAGTCTTAATTATGATTTCAAGAGGTCTTAAATTTAAGGACGGAAAGACAAGAATTGCATACACATTATGGCTTAATGTGACGATTAAACTTCAAAAGGCTGTGATGCTTTTCAGATTCTGCGCTGCTTTGTGTAGTGCTGTTTTCGGGGAATCTGCATTATTTCTGCCGTTCTGGCAGAGAATGGATTCGCATTTTCATTAACCCCGTCTGCTGTTTTTGTTCAGTGCACTGCGAAAATCTAAATGAAAGATAGCAGGGATTTTTTTCTTCTATCTGTAATCATAATATTTAGCACAAGCACTTCAAATGAGTTAAACCTGTGTCCTGTTTTCTGAGTAACATTAAGAATATCTCTATATATCGTTGCGACACCGCCGCCACGACCAATCAGACGGGGCTCATGCTTATAACAGTATCCTGGTGGAGTAGACTCATTTAGACAAAATAATCATTAGGTTAGAGATCATTTCACCTTAGGTGTGAGTGAATTTGGTAACACTTTAGATTAGGGAACACATATTCACTATCAACTAAGAGTTTTCCCTCATTAAACTCCTAATTTGTTGTTTATTGGAAGTAAGGTAGTTGTCGTAGTAATTATATTTAGGTATTGGGTAGGGTTAAGGGATCTAGAATAAGGTAATTTTAATATGTGCTTTATAAGTACTAATAAACAGCCAGTGTGCTAGTAATATGCATGCTATAAGCAACTAGTTAATAGTGAACAGTGTTCCCTAAAATGTATATACTTTTAAATACAGATGCCTGCACTAACAGTTTTACTCGGGGGGTTTTCCCTTTGAGACAGGACACACTGTAGCCTTGTGTCTGACTGTACAGGTTGATCTTCACATTTGAATTCTTTCCTGCAGATGCTGGCCTCCCATTTGACAGCATATTTCCGTAAAAGGTGTGTGGCGGTTACAGACCGGCGCGTCCGGCTGATGAACGAGATCCTGGGCTGTATTAAGTTCATTAAGATGTACTGCTGGGAGACGGCGTTTGCTAACAACATTCAAAGTAAGACAGCACTCGACTACAACTACTCAAACAGCAGCACTGACTCAGCCAAACGGGAAGTGAGCGTATAATGATGGTGACTGAGCGCTTAGATGTCATAGTCTCCATGGAAATCAAAGGATCATCTCTGTGGCTTTGCACTGCATTCAAAGGAACAGTCTCAAGTTTCCTAATCCACTGTCTTGGCTCTGTCCTTCCTCAGTCCTCCGTCGCTGAAACGTCCTGAGAGTCCCTGAGCTTCCAGATTAACTTACAAAGCATTTAGCGCTCTTTCTTTCATAATGCCTTTGGACAGTTTGACTTTGTTGAATGTTAAATAAGTACAATTTAGGCGACGTGAATCTAAACTACCATTCAAAATGTTGGAGTTTTTTTTTTTTAAGAAGAAATGAATGCTTTTATTCAGCAAGGGTGCATTAAATTGATCAAAAACTACAGTAAAGATATTTATAATGTTACAAAAGATTTGCATTTCAAATAAATACTGTTCTTTTTAACATTCTATTCATCAAAGAATTCTGAAAGAATGTATCATGGTTTCCACAAAAAATACAGTTTTTAACATTGATAATTAGAAGTTTCTTTTGCACCAAATCGGCATATTAGAATGATTTTGAATGATATTGTGATTTATTATAATAATATTTCACAATATAACTTTTAACTGTATTTTTGATCAAATAAATGCAGCCTCGGAGGAGCTTTCAAATACATTCTAAAAAATGTATTCATTTTAGTTAATGTTTATTCCCACGTTTACTATTGCATTATTAAAATTAAAACGTGATTCTATTGAAGTTATTTAATAGACCTGAGCTAACATGGACTAACAATGAACAGCTGTATTTTTATTAACTAACATTAACAAAGATTAAGTAATACTGTAATAAACGTGTTGCTCATTGTCAATGCATTAAATATAGTTAACAAATGGAACCTTTTTGTCAAGTTTTAGCAAAAAATCTTACCAACCCCAGATTTTGAATGGTAGAATTTCCTCAAATAGTATTCAGACACTTAAATCACCCATAAAAATATATGAACTTCATTGCATAGGATGCAAAATATGAAATCTAGTGGAGGAATCACAGGTGTAGTTCATGATATAAACCTTCAGTATATTTATTCATCAGTTTTTAATTCAAAACCTCTTTCTGTAAAATATTTTGCTTGAAAAGTGCGCTCGTACTATCCTTTCTTTAACGTCATTGTATAACGAAATATCTAACCAAGTACCATGTAAGTTGTGTCTTAAAAAACTTTTTAGGACGCTGTATATGGGGAAAAAACCCCGGATCATTTAACCCTTTAAACTGGGATGTACTGCTCCAGTAATCCATTTTATGTAGCTGAGCAGTAAATATTCTGTTTAAATAGATGCATGCATGCACTTATAAATGAAATATCACAACCTGCATAGATTAACATCTTCTATATATATGAATTATGTAGATCCAGCAAAGTTTTCAGAGATTACGTCCAGCACTTCTGGTTGTTTAGACCAGCAGCAAAACACTTTGGCTGTAAGCCAGAGAGCGGCGCTGAATGAATGTGCCAGCTCGCGGGCAGTCGCGAGGCAAATATCAGTGCAGCAGAGGGAGGTGAAATACACTTGGACACCAGCCAGTGCCTCAGCATCCCCATCTACTGCAACATCCCATTTATGATTATGATCTCTCTTACATACCAGTTGCACTTCTCAGTGTTGCTGCCGGATTGAACGTAGTGAGGCTCCTGTAAATTAGAAACTGTGTTGTAGGATTGGAAACACAATATGGCTACATTCACTGCACAGCAGGTTTTCCGTCTTGTTTGGAGCGCTGAATATGGTTCTGTTCATACACAGTTCCGTTTTAAAAGAGAATAATGAATACATTATATAAAAGTGGCTCCCTTAAATCTTCAGGAGTCACAACTACATTTTGAGAGCGTCGTCTATAATTGAATCGAGATGCTGACATAGAGTGTGAGGAAATAAACGAAATTCATCAATTAAATGTTTTGCAAATTTCAAGTTGCTAAATAGAATTGAACCATAAATGTATTATAAAAGTGGTCCACATAACAAGTCTTCTGAAGCCGTGCGATAGTGTGAGTAACGCTGAAAATAATTTAGTCCTAAAGCCTACTGTATCATATTTGATATGATTTATCCGTGTATTAATATTCCTCTGGTCATAGAGACCATTTTTAGATGGATGCCGAGGCTTTTAGGGCTTTTTTGAATCTGTGATCTCTGACTCAATTTGTTTGCTGGGTTTCATGCTGCAATACGCTGTGTTTTCCACCAACTGGCAACCCGGGGTGTTGAAATCCTATTGGATAAACTGACAGTGGGCGGAGTCACACAGAGCAAAACCAAAACAGACATTCCGACACGGCACGCACATTTCAGAGCAGAATAACTGGCTGTAGCATTGTTTTTCAGAGAAACGAGTATGTGAACTTTTCTAAATATCTGCAAACTTATTATTTGCTTTAATACAGTCAAAAAATTACTTAAAAACTAGAGTCTGACCAGCTAGGTTAAGTTAGCCAAGGGTTAATCTGTCTTACTTTTAAGATTCAAATTAGTCCAGTCTTAATGAAAAAACTGGATGACTAACTTGTAAGATTAGTCTAAGCAGTTCATGCAACTGGCCCCAGGACATTTAGAGAGTCACACCACATAGTCATTGAACAGAAAACAACTCTTGCTTCTTTGACGCCTCCTGTGTGTCTGCAGGGGTTCGATCAGAAGAGAGGAGGATCCTGGAGAGAGCCGGCTGTGTTCAGAGCCTAACGGTAGGTGTGGCTCCAGTGGTGGTGGTGATAGCCAGCGTGTGCACATTCACACTTCACATGGCTCTGGGCTATGATCTCACCGCAGCACAGGTAAAGCTGTGCTAGTGCTGTTCGCTTTCTGCCCGAGGCTCGTAAACAACCTCAAACCTGAGCTCACAGAGACCTGTTTTCATTTCTATCACACCCTGCAGGCCTTCACCATCGTTGCTGTTTTCAACTCCATGACCTTTGCTCTAAAGGTCACGCCCTTGGCGGTGCGTGCTTTATCCGAAGGCTCCGTGGCCGACGGTGGGTGTGGCTCCAGTGGTGGTGGTGATAGCCAGCGTTTGCACGTTCACACTTCACATGGCTCTGGGCTATGATCTCACCGCAGCACAGGTAAAGCTGTGCTAGTGCTGTTCGCTTTCTGCCCGAGGCTCGTAAACAACCTCAAACCTGAGCTCACAGAGACCTGTTTTCATTTCTATCACACCCTGCAGGCCTTCACCATCGTTGCTGTTTTCAACTCCATGACCTTTGCTCTAAAGGTCACGCCCTTGGCGGTGCGTGCTTTATCCGAAGGCTCCGTGGCCGTGAAAAGATTTCAGGTCAAAAACACATCCACATCCACAAACGAACCAAAAATGACTGTTCCGCCATTATTTTCTCACCCTCATGTTTTTTAAGATGTGAATTAATTTCGATAGAGCGCAAAAGGAGAACATTTGAAGAATATCCACGCAGCTCTTTTCCGATACACTGAACAAATAGTGACTGGGAATCCAAAAATGACAAAGAGCACCATAAATGTATCATAAAAGTGGTCCATATATAGGTTTTATGAAGCTGTGCAATAGTATAACAACGAAAATGATTTACTGTAAGTCCTCTAAATTATCAAGATGATCAAAACTTTGCTGAAAAACCTGTAATAATTTACTGCATGACTTCTGTCTTCTGACTGATGCTTTTTATCAAGTAAAAGGCCTATTAGTATAATTCAATTGTGTAAGTCCTCTAAATTATCAAGATGATCAAAACTTTGCTGAAAAACCTGTTGTAATAATTTACTGCATGACTTCTGTCTTCTGACTGATGCTTTTTATCAAGTAAAAGGCCTATTAGTATAATTCAATTTTCAGGACAAGGTTCATGTGTCTTTTTGCTGTTAAATCTTTACTGATTTTTATAAAGTAAATGTAAGAATGAATAAAATTTATATTTTTAGTCATAGTTCAAGATTAACATTTACTGAGATCTTACTAAAGATCTCGCATATGCTGATGATAATCTCACTCATCAACACATGCTAACTTTATTATTATTATTAGACTTTTTTATTTTTTTAGATTTTGCACTGGGCTACTTTGATGATATGTGGGACCTTAAAGTGACAGTTAATCCAAAAATGAACATTCTGTCATCATTTAGGGGCCGTTCACACAGAACACATCTTTGCGTCTAAAACCGTGAGACGCAGCGCTCAGGAATGGTTTTAAGAAAGCACTGTGCAGAATGCCTCCTCTGCCATGTTTGGTCAAATAAAACAGTTAGCTTGCTATTGTAAACAAAAGCTTTGCTCCGCCTCCGTTTCTTCTGATTGGTCCACTGTTTTGGAACTGACATTGATGAGTGACGCTGCCTGTAAAAGTTGAAATTCTTTTAACTTGACATGCCGTCTTAAAAACGAGGCACTCAGGTGATGACACGAGACTCGAGCACAACTGTCATACACGTCCATCCAGTGCGTTTACATAGAAAAACAATGGAAAAGTAGTGCACTGGAATACAAAAACGAGTTCTGTGTGAACGGCCCCTTACTCAATCCTGTATGAGTTTCTTTCTTCTGTGGAACATAAAAGAACATATTTTGAAGAATGTTGTTGAACAAACTGTTAATGATCCCCATTGACTTCTATGTAAATGTTTTTTCCATACTGTGGAAGTCAATGGGGACCATAAACAGTCCCAGTCCTTATTCACTTTTAAAATAATTAAGATATGGATATTCTGCAATATTTCTCCTTATGTGTTCACAGAAAGTCATTCAGGTTTGGAACCACATCATGGAGAGTAAATGATGACAGACTTTTTTTTCTGCTAAACCTGCTTACTAAACAAGTTTGGGATTCCCTGATTTAAAGGGATAGTTCACCCTAAAATAAACATTTCGTCATCATTTACTCACCCTCATGTTGTTCCAAACCTGTATTAGTTTCTTTCCTCTGTTGAACACGAAAGAAGAATGGTGGAAACCAGACAGTTGCTGGACCCCTTTGACTTCCATAGTATAGAGGGGAAAAAATACTATGGAAGTCAATGGGGACCAGCAACTGTTTGGTTTGAAACAACATGAGGGTGAGTAAATTATGGCAAAAATGTCATTTCTGGGCGAACCATCCCTTTAATGCCTCCTATTGCGCCCACAGAAGCTCTTCTTGATGGAGGACAGGGAGCTGATCTCAAACAAAACGGAAGATCCCTATAATGCGGTGGAGTTTAAAGACGCCACACTGGCCTGGGAGAAGACCAGCGGCTCGCAGGGGAAAAAGAGCCGAGCCCAGCAGAAAAGAGGAGGCATGAAGAGGGTTTTGAGGAGGGAGAAGCTGAGCTTGTACATCACCACAGAGAACAGCAAAGGGGAGAGCGAGGAAGCCAACGCAGAGCACCTCCTCACACACATGGAGCAGGAGAGCCCACAGAGCACCATCTCCTCCACACAGAGCATCCGACCTCCGCTGCACAAAACCCTGCACCGCATAGACCTCTGCATCCGGAAGGTACTGCGATACATCATGTGCGGTGTTACGATTGCTGCATAGCACAGTGTCAAAGGTCAGATGGGTTTTCAACATTTCTCATCCCATTCAGACAAAAACGAGGTTTTCATGGGATGCTCAAGTGTTGCATGCAGCAAACAGTTCATGCATACAGCGTTTATGTAGAACTAGTCATAACTAACTCTACTGCCATAAAGTATCTGTGACGTAATTTGCTGGCCTGCTTTCTGCGCTGTACACCAGGGGTCACTGGTTGGGGTTTGTGGAGGAGTCGGCAGTGGAAAGAGCTCGCTGCTATCTGCTCTACTGGGACAGGTGAGAAATTACACGCGCTACTGTTCAAAAGATTGGGGTCAGAGAGAATGGTGTGTGTTTTGTTTGTTTGTTTGAAGAAAGAAAGAACGATATTAATACTTACATTCAGCGAGGATGCATTACATTGGTCAAAAATGACAGTAAAAACTTTTTTAAAGTTTTCTATTTCAAATAAATGCTGCTCTTTTGAACTGCTATTCATCAAAGAATCCTGAAAAAAAAAGTATCCAATTTTCCACAAAAATATGAAGCAGCACAACTGTTTTCAACATTAACAATAATTGAAATGTTTGTTAAGCAGCAAATCAGCATATTAGAATTATTTCTGAAGATCACGTGACACTGAAGACTGGAGTAATGATGCTGAAAATACAGCTTTGATCACAGGAATAAATTACATTCACATAGAAAACTGTTTTTTTAAATTGCAATAATATTTCATAATATTACTGTTTTTATTGTATTTTTGATCAAATAAGCATCCTTTGTGAGCATAAGAGACTTGTTTGTTAAAAAAAAATGTTAGCAACCATAATCTTTCAATGGTTAAAACTTTTAACTATGCATAATGCTCTGTTTTATGTATTTCTATCAAGGCTGTAATCACAATAGACGTCGAAATGAAGATAATCAGTGAATAATGCCTTAACTTTCAGTGTCTTTGGAAGACTATCATACAAGTCATATGGTACAATGCTACGGTATTTGTTCTTTTTGGAGCTGGACAGCTGTTGTTTTAGAGAAAGGATGAGCGTTTCTCTTTATGAGCTCCACTGAGAAAATAACAGCATATGGGTTTGGCCCGAAATTAGAGTAAATAATGAAAAACCTTGCTTTTTTATAACCACCCCTTTAACCATCATAAAGCAGCCTGGACATGAAGCAGCTGGTCCTCTCAGCAGGACGAAAGCAGATGTATAGGTCTGATTCTCCGCCTTCTGTCTAGATGACCCTTCTTGGCGGCTCAGTAGCTGTAAACGGAGACTTCGCATATGTTGCTCAACAGGCCTGGATCCTCAACGATTCCCTCAGGGAGAACATCCTGTTTGGACAAAAATACATTGAGGAGAAGTACGCAGCGTATTCATGCATATACGAGTTCTGCATAAAAATGACTTTGGCCTTTCTTCTAAAATTAAACAAGTTTTGTGCTCATCTCTCACCAGGTACAACGCAGTTCTGGAAGCCTGCTGTTTATTTCCTGATATTATTGAGCTGCCATATGGCGATATGACTGAGGTATTATAACGCTCATAATATAATCTCTGACCTCGACAAACACAATCAAAGCACAAGGTCGTTCAAATCTCACTCGTATGATATCTCTATTAGTTTGCCGTTGAAAAACATGCAGTGTGATGATTAGTGTGGCTGCTGTGAATGATCTGCTGTAGATAGGAGAGAGAGGAGCCAATCTGAGCGGCGGTCAGCGGCAGAGAGTGAGTCTGGCCCGTGCGCTGTACAGCGAGAGACCCGTCCTTCTGCTCGATGACCCCCTCAGCGCCGTCGACGCTCGCGTGGGATCGCACCTATTCCACAGCGCCATCCGCCGCACGGCCAAGAGCAGGACTGTCATCTTTGTCACGCACCAGCTGCAGGTAAGAGGCTATGAATGCATGAGATGTACACATAGACACAGCACAGACTGGGACATGAGACATTGTGCTCATCCTTTATATAAGTTTGTGGATTGAATACGGTTCGCACGAGAGGCTGTGTTTTATTGCAGAGGCTGTTGTTAGTCAGTCCCTTCAATCATGACTATAACACAGCATGGCTTTAAATGCCTTATTGCACTTATCAAATATTTTAAAAACCAATTAGAATTTAGGCCAATACGCCACATACACATTTATTGTTATATTGTCGTTTCATTATTTTTGTAGTTGTTATTTTAGTATTAAAGCTTTTATTTTTATACTTTCAGATTTCATATTCATTTTGGTTTAAGTTTTAGAAATTCTGTCACTTGCTTTTGTCTTTTTTATTTATTTATGTTTTTTTAATTATTATTTCACTTTTAGTACTTCAACTTAATTTATTTCGGTTAGCTGCCAAGGCAGCACTTCTAATTTCCATTGAAGTTTTTTTTTTTAAATTGTATATTATTTATATTTCCTTATTTATATTTTATTCTATTTCAGCTTTATTCCAGTTAACAAACCATTTGTAATAGTTAACAGTAAAACTTCTGATAAATGGCAGATGAAAATGCTATTCTGTCATGTCTGAATTGTTTATGTACATATATAAACAAATATTTTATAAACAAAAAACTAAAATTAGTCATTTTTAATGCCATAACATTATAGTGAGCATTATTAAAAAAAAAAAAAAAAGTTTTAAGTGGGCATTACATGGCGAATTTAAAAAATCCAAAAGCACTATTTAAAACATATATGATGGTATATATCCAATATTTACTGTTACTGATAAATAAAAAAATCTTAATAAAAAAAAAGTCCCTTAAAACCTTTTTATTATTGAGCAAATGACTTCTAATATGATATTAATATGCATGCTTCTCAAAAATAGTTTTAAGAGACAATTTTGTGTCTTAAAATTTTTAATAGGGGATGCATGACATGCCCTTTTTTAAAAATATATTTATTAAGATTTTTAATAAATATATTTTTAAAAAAGGGCATGTCATGCATCCCCTATTAAAAATTTTAAGACACAAAATTGTCTCTTAAAACTATTTTTTTAATGAGCAAATGACTTCTAATGTGATATTACTAGGTTAATGTAACATAAGGCCTCCTCACTGTATTTTGTGACGCTCTGTGTCCGTTCCCGCGGGTGTGTTTATTCTGCAGTTCTTGCCTGAGTGTGATGAGGTGGTGTTAATGAAGGACGGTCAGATAGCAGAGCACGGCACGCACATCCAGCTGATGGAGAAAGGCCGAGACTACGCTGCCCTTTTCAACAGCGTGCAGCAAGAGGTGCGAAAACACAAGGGTCACGCGTTCACAAATTAACAAATAAAATTAATTTGATAAAATTATACATTTTTATCTATTCAGGTATCTATGTTCATGTTTTGTGTAAATGCATTTTTGTTAATTGTCCATTTATAATCAGCTACAAATTCATTATTTGTAATCAACATATTCATATAAATAATGTGTATGCATGTGTGTAGGTGTGTTTATAATACGTCAATATAACATATAGTATATATATAATATACTGTATATATATATATATATGTGTGTGTATTTTTTAATATATGTTGATTACAAATGTATATTTACATTACAATTTACAAAATTGCATTGTGTGTGTGCATGTGTGTTAATGTTAATGTAACATATTAAAATACATTAAAATATAAATATACAATATGTATACACTATGAATGAATTGCAAAAACACATTGTGTTTGGCACAATTGTTTATTCCAGTCCTTTGGCACCACGTGACCTCTTTTGAGAAGTGTTGGTTTAACAGTCGTTGGATGAGTTACACTTTTTTGTTGTTCTTCTCTCTTTCTGTCGTCTGATGTGCCCCTCACAGATCAGCTCATGCAGGCGGAGGAAAAGGGGAGCGGGGCCGTGGCCTGGCAAGTGTACACTACTTACATCAAGGCTGCAGGAGGGCCTCTGGCTTTCATCGTAAACATCCTCCTCTTCCTCTTCACCACCGGCAGCATCGCCTTCAGCAACTGGTGGCTCAGTCACTGGATCGGGCAAGGTAGTGGGGTAAGACTCACTCATCTTCACTTAACTCACTTTTTCTTCTGAAGCAAACAAAAGGAGAAATTCTGATCAGTATGAACGAATCATTGAATGAATCATTCCCGTCATCCTATTCGTTGACATGATCTGACTCAAAAGAAGCATTTGTTTCCTCGCTACTTGCTCATGAACGTGCAACAGAGAATTAGGGTGGATTTCAATTATTTTGTGTCTTTTTAGTTCACCGCAAAATGAAAATTCTGTCATCATGTTTACAGCATTTCAAATACGTCGAAATTCGAAACTGAAAGGCTCTTCTGAACTGGTTTTTGCTAGTGAATCGCTTGAACTGAATGATCAGCGGGGTAAGACCAAGGGATGATTCAGCCAACAATATCAACTCACTCATCTTCACTTAACTCACTTTTTCTTCTGAAGCAAACAAAAGGAGAAATTCTGATCAGTATGAACGAATCATTGAATGAATCATTCCCGTCATCCTATTCGTTGACATGATCTGACTCAAAAGAAGCATTTGTTTCCTCGCTACTTGCTCATGAACGTGCAACAGAGAATTAGGGTGGATTTCAATTATTTTGTGTCTTTTTAGTTCACCGCAAAATGAAAATTCTGTCATCATGTTTACAGCATTTCAAATACGTCGAAATTCGAAACTGAAAGGCTCTTCTGAACTGGTTTTTGCTAGTGAATCGCTTGAACTGAATGATCGAAGTCACTTCAAGATTCAAAAGATTCAAGATTCAAAAAACTTTATTAATCCCAAAGGGAAATTGCTTTCCATGTTACAATTGCTCTCAAGAAATAAAGAATAAAGAAAAGATAATAAATAAATATATACCTATATATCAATAAAATTAAAAAATAAATAAATAGCAATATAACACATGTAAATAATAATATAAAACTATACCAGTAAAAATGGTCGTTTAGATCAAATATAAAATTAATCAAAGTGGAATAAAATGACAAATGTGGAATATAATAAGTCCAATATGGTAATGGTAATTAAGTACAGTAATTATATAGTATGTATTGCACACTAATCTTAGTATTAATAAATAGGCAGTAATAATAATAATAAATTGCATTGCACAAGAAAAGTCCCTTATTGCACATGAAATGAACATGTATCGCACATGCATTATTCATAAATGTCCCAGCACTTATAGGGAGGAGTTGTACAGTCTGATGGCCACAGGGATAAAGGATCTTCTGAAGCGCTCAGTGGAACACTTGGCAGTAATCAGTCTCTGGCTGAACTGACTTGAGTTTGAATCAGCCGGAGTTCCAGCGTAAATGACTCACTCAATTGAATCGGTTTGTCTGTTCCACTCTTCGCTCCTTCAGCCATGTTTACTACTACTGGCTTAGCTCGCTAGTTTTATGAGATTAACTGAAATGAGAGAAAAAAAGTATGATGCCTACAAATAAAACATCCAGACCTGGCAGCCCTGCTCTTCAGAAGACTTTGATTAAACTGCTCAGTTAATATACATTTATTCATTTGATCTCTTTACAAACATTTTGAAGCATCAGAGTTTTGGGTGAACAGACTTTCTCTGTAGAGAGAGAGATTTGATTAAAACATCTTCATTTGTGTTACGAAATTGAACGACAAGAGGGTGTTGTAGCCTAAATCATGACAGAATTTACATTTTAGAGTAAAATAACCCTTTAAAATTGACCATGACACTTTTTTTTGGTTCTTTTGTGTTCTTCTTTTTGAAGCTTGAAAGCTTCATTACACGTTTGTTATAATTGCAAGGAAAACAGAAACAGGTCAGAATCTGTCATTTTGAGTTTCACAGAAGAAAGTAAGTCTTCACATGTTTGGAAACGACATGATGGTGAAAAAAATGATGCCAGTTTTTATTTTTGGGTGAATTATTCCTTTAAGGTGACAAGCCACCAACTTTAATCGTCGAGTTTTGATGCCTAGCCGAAATGAACATCAATCCCGAATCTAATTAGAAGTGCCAGACTCCACATGATTTACTCAGAGGGACAATCACGGCAACAGATGTTGCAGTTAACTCACATTCTGTAAAATAATTGAGACTGGGACTCATGCACGCAGTTCAGATGGTTTGTTGGGAATCTCCAGGGATGGATCATGTTTCCAAGGTGATGTTCTTTTGTCCCTGCAGAATTCCTCGCTGCTGCAGGGGAACGAGACCGCCGAGAGCGACAGCATGCGACTGAATCCGCACATACAGTACTACTCCAGGGTGTACGTCTTATCCATGGGGGCGGCGCTCTTCCTGAAGACGGTGCGAGGGCTGGTGTTCGTCAAGGTAATCTGGAGTTTATTTGTCAGCGCACCAGATTCCTCTGTTCAGGCTTCCTGTCTCCATTACACACAGCTGAATTTTTTATCAAACACTTAGGTACTTAGGCAGATGCATTTCCTCTTTGCTCATGCACTATTCATCACTGCCTGAATCTACCTGAGAGAACCAGGTTAATCTGTCAAGGGGGCATCGCAATTAATGCCTTTTCCCAAAGCGGAATCTGAATGTTATTGACAGGGCACGCTCATAGCACAGTGTAGGGATTTGTGACATTGACAAAAAATGATATCTCGATATGTTTTGGGATTTTTTTCCCGGTAACAATAATTAAACGATGTTTGCTTAGTGTGTTTTTGTGCTGGTAATTTCAGTGTCTGGGGTAACGTGAGTTACGTAATCAGATTACTTTTTTCAAGTAACTAGTAAAGTAATGCATTACTTTTTAATTTACAAGAAAATATCGGAGTTACTTTTTCAAGTAAGTAAAGCCAGTTACTTGTTTTCCCATGTATTGACTGACAGCTGTCCTCATGTGGAGAGAAATCAGGAGTGAGTGCAGACGTGTTGTGTGCGCTGTGTGAACATGATGTTACTGTAGACTAAATGTGAACATGCATTTACTCATATCGCACAAAAAACTGATTCAGCATTCCTCAAAATAAATACAAACAATGCAAACTCATATGACGCAAACTTGCATTAATTAAATATGTTAAATAACACAAATATCCTTTATGTATTTAATCCAATTTATTCAATGTCTTTGCTGCTGACCTTCGGTGATCCAATTCAACCATACTAATAAGCATGACTTCAGACAAACATAATATATGTGTTTATTTATTTTATCGCTGAAGGGTGTTGAACTTTCTTCTCTTGCATCCTTTTCTTCATGCAATGCAGAATGGCAGCACAGCTGAAAGGTTTGTTTGAGCTGCGTCCTCTACTGTACAGACGTGAATTTACATTTCCTTCAGCCTGAAGCTTATTCATTTCACTTCTGATGTGAAAGGGCTTTTACATTTGCCAAAAATAGAACTTTTTATATTAAAAACAAACAAGTAAGCCCAGCCCAGATTTAAAAAGTAATGCAAAAGTAACATAACACATTACTTTCCATAAAAAGTAACTAAAGTTTCTTTTTTAGGGAGTAACGCGATATTGTACGGCATTACTTTTAAAAGTAACTTTCCTCAACACTGGGTACTTAAATAAATACGACACTAAAGTCCCTGTCTTAATGAGTGATTCATTGAGTCATTGATTCAAACAATTCATTCAAAAAGGGTGATTTATTTAGAAACAAAGCGAGTGACCGTTTCAATGAATAGATCATTGAGTCATTGACTCCAATGATTCGTTCAAAAACAGATTCATTCAGAAACGAAACGCCGCAGAGTTTCTCTGAGACGCACAAATGTTCTGCTCCCGCTTTTCATTGGCGAAACAGAGACAAACGGACAATATTGTGTCTAAAGTGTTACTCAATATTAACTTCTTGTTTGTTGAACGATAAAATCAATATCACATTTGCAATCGCACTCACGCACTTATGTGGCACTCTTGTGTGTATTATTATAACTTAACTATATCGTGTATTATAAATACATTTTTGTTTTCATAACTTGAATTGTAGGGTCATTTGAACTGCGTAATATATGTGTTTATTTATTTTATCGCTGAAGGGTGTTGAACTTTCTTCTCTTGCATCCTTTTCTTCATGCAATGCAGAATGGCAGCACAGCTGAAAGGTTTGTTTGAGCTGCGTCCTCTACTGTACAGACGTGAATTTACATTTCCTTCAGCCTGAAGCTTATTCATTTCACTTCTGATGTGAAAGGGCTTTTACATTTGCCAAAAATAGAACTTTTTATATTAAAAACAAACAAGTAAGCCCAGCCCAGATTTAAAAAGTAATGCAAAAGTAACATAACACATTACTTTCCATAAAAAGTAACTAAAGTTTCTTTTTTAGGGAGTAACGCGATATTGTACGGCATTACTTTTAAAAGTAACTTTCCTCAACACTGGGTACTTAAATAAATACGACACTAAAGTCCCTGTCTTAATGAGTGATTCATTGAGTCATTGATTCAAACAATTCATTCAAAAAGGGTGATTTATTTAGAAACAAAGCGAGTGACCGTTTCAATGAATAGATCATTGAGTCATTGACTCCAATGATTCGTTCAAAAACAGATTCATTCAGAAACGAAACGCCGCAGAGTTTCTCTGAGACGCACAAATGTTCTGCTCCCGCTTTTCATTGGCGAAACAGAGACAAACGGACAATATTGTGTCTAAAGTGTTACTCAATATTAACTTCTTGTTTGTTGAACGATAAAATCAATATCACATTTGCAATCGCACTCACGCACTTATGTGGCACTCTTGTGTGTATTATTATAACTTAACTATATCGTGTATTATAAATACATTTTTGTTTTCATAACTTGAATTGTAGGGTCATTTGAACTGCGTTCTTCTAATAGGCTTCATCACACAGTCAATGCTTCTGGACTCTCAAGACGTGTTTTTGCTTGTTTTTTTGCAAAGTGAGTGACTCAATAGCGTCAGGTCGCGTATCGTTAAAACAATTACAATATTATCGTACATGAGAAATATTGCACACCCTTGAGCACAGTGTACTTCAGTTTCAGTTTCATTTGCACACCGAATCCTTGCTGTGCAATCCATGACATAGTGTCTGCTTTTCTCTCTCTCTTTTTCTGCTCTTTAATTGAAATTGCCTGCAGGCTAAATCCATTTATCTGTCCAGTGTCTTGACTTTGAGCTGGAGGGGTTGAGTATACATGTCCCCTCAGGACCCCATGCCCTCTTCTCCATTAAGCAGAGCCGACAGCACATTAGAGAGGTTATGTGTCTGTGTAATTGTGTGCCACTTGTATTCACTAATTCCTCGGTGATGGCTAATCTCTTTTTACCCAGAGGTAAGATTGCAAATTTGAGAACTTTACATATTCCATTAATGGAGTGAATTTGTCCCCTTGTGCCAGAAAGCATCAAATCCAAATGGTAACATGTTCTCCCATGAGCATAACATGAGGAATTTTGTTATGAAGGCATGGCGTATTCTCAATAGTTTCCTGACCTGTATTTGAGAATATTTGTACTTATGTAACCATGTGTTCATGTGCTGCTGCAGTGATAAGGTTCATGCATTTACTGCACATCATGTGTGTGTTAGACTGTGTAAAGTGCTAAGAGTGACATCATGTTGTCTATGCTGGTGCTTTAGGCCAAAATTAGATCGCTTTCATCATAATTAATGAAGCTGTCTGCATTGGAAGTGCTCTTTGCTGCATGGCCTGTCAGAATGTGTCTACAGAATGCTTGTTTTCTATTTCTGATGCACTGCACAGCAATCCCAGCCACTTTATTTTTCCCTGTGTTACTTAAAATGACAAAAATATATGATTTTTTATAAATATTTAAATATATTTAATGTATTAAATATACACTATCATTCATGTCTTTTTTAATAAAAAGAAGTCTTATGCTCACCAAGGCCTCATTTATTTGATTAAAATTACAATAAAATCCATAACATTGTGCAATATTATTACAATTTAAAATAACTATTTTCAATTTGAATACATGTTAAAATAGAATTTATTCCTGTGATCCAATGCTGAATTTTCAGCATCATTACTCCAGTCTTCAGTGTCACATTTCTGATTATTATGTTGAAAACAGTTGTGCTGCTTCATATTTTTGTGGAAACATTTTATTTTTCAGGATTCTTTGATGAATAGAAAGTTCAAAAGAACAGCATTTATTTGAAATAGAAATCTTTTGTGTCGTTATCAATGTCTTGACTGTCACTTCTGAATTTAATAAATCCTCACTAAAATAAAGTATTAATTTCTTTGGGGGGAAAAAAAACTTACTGACCTCCAAACAACACATATTTTCACTTAACCAAGACACTTGTATTTACTCATATTAAAACAGATTCAGTATTCCTCAAAATGAATAAAAACAATGAAATACAAACTCAGAATATTACACAAACCTGCAATAATTAAATGTCTTCACAAAATCCTTTTATGTATTGAGTATCTTCAGCCTGAGGCTTATTCCTTTACATTTGCCAAAAATAGAACTTTTTTATATTAAAAATAAAGAAGCAAGCCCAGCCCAGACGAGAAAAAGTAACGCAAAAGTAATGTAATGCATTACTTTCCATAAAAAAGTAACACGATTAGTTACTTTTTTTCCAGGGAGTAATGCAATATAGTTATGCATTACTTTTAAAAGTAGCTTTCGTCAACACTGATATTAAATATGTTTAAATAACTTTAATTTGCACCAGAAAAGCTAGTGAAGCGGTCTCTGTCCTCTTAATTTAAATCATCTATTGTTTCTAACCATATGTATCAGGAGGGAACAACTGTGAGCATTGTTTAAGCTCCTTTGCTATTCTGAAATGGGCCGTGCAAAGTCTTTATTCCAGTCAATATCTGTTATCAGAGTAGGAAATTCACCTATTTTACTGAGGATGTGTGTGATGTGATGTTTCAGGCAAAGCCTCACAGAGCAGAAGCATTCCTGGATATTTGCCAAGGTTTTCTCCGTATAAATCTAGCTATTATGGCTGTGTAAATGTTTGTGTGCATCCCTGACCTGTTTATTTGCATTATGGACCCTAACTAAAGAATTTTATAGGTTTTTTTAGCATTAGCATTTGTTGTGTCTGGGTGCATGCATTATTAACACTGTTGTGTGTGTTGTTTTGTTGTTGTTTTTGCAGTGCACTGTGCGGGCAGCCTCGGTTCTGCATGATAAACTATTTAAGACTCTACTTCTGAGCCCCATGCGCTTTTTTGACACAACACCCCTGGGACGCATTCTCAACCGATTCTCCAGGGACATGGATGAGGGTGAGGAACCTCTCTTTTTCTCTCTTCACAAATCCTTTCACATGCAGGATGACGGGGGCGTCTCGAAGCGTGCTGATGTCTCGCTCTCTCACACGTTCGCTCTCTGTTCTTCCTCTGTGCGTAGTTGACGTGCGTCTGGCGATGCAAGCCGAAATGCTGCTCCAGAATGTGACATTAGTGCTGTTCTGCCTGGGCATGGTGGGCGTTGTCTTTCCCTGGTTCCTGTTCTCCATCATTCCTTTAGGGGCGTTCCTCTTCATCGTCAACCGCATCTCCAGGTTTGGTCTTACAGACTTTTTGGGTCAAACAGTTGAGCTGAGTCATTGTAAAAAAAGTAGAACCAAATATATAGGTCAGGCTGATTAATCAACAAATATGTGTGTTCCAAATCTGCCAAAAACATTATAGATAATAAACATGATCTCTATATTCTCTATTTATAATATAATTGTGTTGTTTTACAATGTTTTTATGTATTAACCAAAATATTATATTATTTGAAATTTAAATATTAATTTAAATAAATATTAATAATTTAAATATTTAAATGTTTAATTATATATATATATATATATGTGTGTGTGTGTGTGTGTGTGTGTATAAATAGTTAATAAGTTAAATGTTTAATTTGATATATTATACATACATACATATATATATATATATATATATATATATATATATATATATATATATATATATAGTTAGTATATAGACTATAAAAAAATGTAAATAAAATAACTATTGTAGTTATTTTTTTTATTTCAGTTCTCTACCTCTAAATTTCATGTTTAATTAAATTTCTTTCTTGCCATTTATTTGTAATTGTAAAATTCACTAGCAAATTCTGAGTGAAAATTTCTAGACTAATTTTATTAAATGCTAAATCATTTTAAATAAACAATTATAATCGAAAAATATGTAATTTTATTATAATTTTATTTATTATTATTATTTTTAAATATGTCTAAAAAGGCAACAGAACCACACTTGTACATGTATTTTCGTAGTATCTGTCTTAGATGAAGCATTTCAAGGGCAGGTTTGTCCTCCTTCACTTGGCCCCTTTTTAATAAAAGTATGATTCATTAACATTATTCACAAGCAATGCATTTTTCATATATGCACTTACAAGCTGAAATCAGCCTTATTTCTCATCAATAATGGCCTGGCTCTGGCTGACGCTGCTGTCCTGCCTGAGTTAGCGCTGACGTGTGACGGGCCCCATAAAGCCCCGTATAAATCAGTTCAGAAGCCAGAAATGACTGCAGCTCAGCCAGGAAGATCCCCTCAGTCTCACCGTTATTGTCCCTCTGTGGGCCTCCATCTCATAAGCCACTAACCTGTCACATCACAGGCAGCTCTGTGAGCCACACAGATAAGCAGATGAGATGAGCCAGAGCCTTGATCAAAACTCAGCCGTATATCGCCGCTCATATGCTATGACTGGCTGACTTTTTGTCAGGGCCTGAAAAATGTATATAAATATGCTTTTCCGATTGTCCTTTTTACCCAAAGGGTTCTCATTTGTGAGCTGAAGCGCCTGGAAAATATCAGCCAATCCCCTTTCACCTCTCATATCACCAGCAGTCTGCAAGGCCTGTCCACTATCTATGCTTACGGCAGGGGTGCTGACTTCATACACAGGTAATATTCACACAGCAGAATGCCCTCCATGACTTTGCAGAACTTTTCTCTCTGAAACAAACACTGAAGTGAAACTTTACTTGAGGTCTGTATACACCGTGGCCGCAGAAAGTGTGCACAAAGTTCAAACGACACACAGACAATGCTCAAGCCACACTCACAAATGGCATTGCATCAGAAAATCATGAAAAATGCCAAACCTAGTGGCTTTTATTGGAAAGAAACTTTAAAATACACACTTTTCAAGAAAACTTCGCGTCGTGCCTGACAACCCGAGGTGGTGACCTCGGGTGTGCATTATTTTTCTAATAATTTAACGGCCCATCGTCAATTATTATACTACGGTTACCACACCTCAAGACATCGATCAGATGATATATTTAAAGGGATTCGTCCGGCTTTTGTACATAAATCGTTATTGTGAGTAGGATTATTTCTTCCGCATCTCATCCAACGCCTCTTTTGCTAGTTCCAAAACGTCATTTTAAAGCTGGTAATGGAGGCTTGAGCCGTTGATAGCATACTAATGCAGTTATTAATGAAGTTATTAAGAGCTCGTGTGAATTACGCTACCTCTGTGCATCCCTCAACAGTGTTCTGCAGCAGCGTCTCTAAACAGCGCTGTTATTACCTCGCTAGTGAGAAATGTCATGTGTAGCCTTTAAGTTGCTACACTATATAGGCTAACTGATAAAATCATCAGGGCAGCGCTGACAACACCTATTTGTGCAAACTGCATGACCATAGTGTGCGTGTGTGAGCACGTGTGATTGCAGTAATTCCTGTGTGCTGTATGAGTACTGTATGCTAATTCCCGTTATTACAGTTAACTATGTGAAGTGATATGGAACTGTAATGCGGTCAAGAGAGCTGCCTGGAACTACGTTCGCCGTGCGTTTCCCTGAAAATAATTGCACACCTCAGAATGTTCATCAGCCAATCAGATTCAAGCATTCAACGGCCCGTAGTATAATAAAATATAATTGATATATTAAAAAATATATATATATATAGATAGATAGATAGATAGATAGATATACAAGATGCAAAGTATGTTATGAATAAACTTGCAAAGTAAGGACTTTGGCTAAATATTGGTTATATTCCACCAGGAATCAAGCCCTGCTTGACACAAACCAAGCGTGTCACTATCTGTTCAGCTGTGCTATGCGCTGGCTGGCTGTGCGTCTGGACCTCATCAGCATTTCTCTCATCACCACTATAGCCCTCCTCATCGTCTTCATGCACGGCCGCATTCCTCCTGCCTACGCCGGTCTGGCCATCTCCTACGCCGTACAGGTGCGCCGCTCTCACACACTGTACATGAGTGGGGACGCTTGTAAGGCAGGACCGTTACTGTGCCATGATTAATTAGCATTGCTCACTATTGCTCAGTTGTTATTCACTGCTCATTTCTTTCCCTTCCCACATCCAGCTAACCGGCCTGTTTCAGTTCACCGTGAGGCTGCTTTCTGAAACCGAAGCCCGCTTTACATCAGTGGAGCGGATCAATCATTACATAAAGGTAGAAGCTTCTGTGACACATGCGTGCTGGTTGTGTCAATGGCAAATAGAAAGGGACAGACCATTTGTTATTCAACTGACACAGCGCACAAAAGACATCAGCTCTTTACTTTGCACAGGCCGCTGAGCCCAGCGGTCAGCGCGCTGCATACTGAGCCTGCTACATCCCGCTCAGCAGGCTTCATGGGATGCGTTTATTGCCAGACAGAACATCATAGCGAATGACACAGCTTGTTTCAGGAGGCTCTTATCAAAGCAGAACAGTACAGCTGTCTTACTGTGGCGGAGAGCATTTTACACTGATTAATGAAGCCAATAATGGTCTCGCTGAGTTCTGAAGTACAAAGTATCCAACTTATTTTGCATTGCAAAAGTTAGCTTTTTCTGTGAGACTACCAATTCATTAACTGCTATAGGTAAATAACTAGAAGAGTAAAGAAGTGCAGTAAAACTCTTTGATCCGTTTGAAATAGCTTACTTAATTTATGAATCAAATCAAATTGTAGTCTACAGGCTTGCCTTGCATTATGATAATTGTATATTAAACTTAAAGGGATAGTTCTCCCAAAAATGAAAATGTGCTGTTTAATTTACTCTCAGGCCATCCAAGATGTAGGTGACTTTTTTCTTCAGCAGAACAGTAAAGAAGATTTTTAGCTGAAAC